GGTTATAATACCACACTARTCGTGATTAKMGTCAATAACCAGCCATTTYAGRCGGTTAAGTTAACCACTGATTAAGTGTCCATAATCGTAGTTAAAATTATGGTGGAACGCAAAGTGTTGATTAAATAGTTTTAATCAATGATTAGCATTTTAATCGGAGATGGTGGAACCGGGCCTAAGTTAGTCTGTTATAGTATGTCATTGGTAAACACTAATCTCGATCCAATCGGTTGGCGCGTTTACTTCTGTCACATTGACGGTTTTTGGCTACACTGTTGCCAACCAATGTCCTGCACTTGAACAATAAGCATTTCCACCCGGCTTAAATCTAATAAAAACGACAAAAATCGGCGAATGCACAAATATGACTGAGTCAACTTCAAAAGCCCTTTACTCTCGAGTGCCCTTTAAAAGGCCCAATCAATCGGCTATCTTTGACAAATCTCCTCTCGATACAGTTCAAAGTGCACAGCCACGAGCAAAAAGCGGTTCTTCGTATATCGATCAGCCGCTTTTGAAAGAGAAAATATATTCCATATTGTTGTCAGTAGGATCAGTACAGTGTGGTTCAAATAGGGCGCAAACAGTGTAGATAAATGATATCTGCGCAGAAATTGGCTGCAATGAATAACCTTTAAACTAGCTAAACTAGCCGGGCCCGCATAATTCCATTTATCCCTGCTGCATTCAGAGATTTCAACTTCTTGTCGCCAGCCGGGAGTTGAGTAAGTTTCCGACTTGGGCTCAATTTTATTTCCTTTCAAAGGGATTAAATTTGATTTGGGGCCTTTGACGGCACACCTGCCACCTCAAGATGCGCCTCCAACTCAATGGTGAGCCCAGTCTTATGCAGCGAGGTTTTTTTGCAGAAACGCGCGCGCCATTTATAAACCTCATTATGCAGCCCACTTTGTACGGGCCTGCTTTGAGAACGATAACGCTGTGAATAGACAAGTAGAACTTTCAGCAGGAATATCGCCTGCCGGTTTACAAAGGTTTATAAGCGCTGTAACTCTCAAGTGACCAAACCGAACCTGATAAAACAATCTATTTTCCCTCTATGCATGGTTGCTCCCTTGTTGTAGAAAACACCTCAAATAATCTGTTGCCCCGCCATTGTCTATCACTGTCAAGAGCCAACTTCAACGGCCATTGAAAGTTTGAACTGAACTGCAGCCGGAAATAAATAAATGACGAAACGGCTTTACGAGTGTGCGGTGTTTAGACCGAAAGTTGTACGAATCGCGTTTATCAGGGCCTGCCTTGAACAACTTTTGCAAACTTTTCGCCCGTTCCGCCACCCTCTTAAACTTGTCTCCCGAGTTTTATGGATTCATTATTGCACACCTGCAAAACCAGCTTTTTCCATTAATTGGAAAAATGTCCTAATGGGCCCTTTTGCGCTCAGATCTCTCCTGTCATCACTGACATTGTCAATGTCTCTTTACCGAAAACTTCGCCCCGCCCAACGACTTGTCTATGGACGTAGACCGCAAACAAACGTCATTCATTAGACATAGGCAATTATGTCAATAATCAGGAAATTGTTATTATTGCATGACCGCAAGAGCTCAATGATAAAGTCGATCTCCAATCGAGGATATCGGCCCTATTTGGGACCGAAAGGCATATTGGGGAGCTTCTAAGAAGGGGCGAAAACAACCCAGAAAATAACACTGAAATGGGCTCTGGTGTTGCGCAACCGAGTATGAAAACGTCCCTAGTTTCCGATTGCAAACTTTCTCGAGTGTGGGTTACAACATTGTTCCTCAGGTGTATCGTAAAAGGTTATTATTAACGGTCCCGGATGGGATCAGACATGAAGCCGCCCCCCGGGGGAGCCTGAGAGCCCTTAGAATTTAAACACGGGCTTGAAGATTAATATCGAAGCCGACAGCAGCATCAAATAATAATCACTCCATAATTTTAATTGCAGGAAAGCAATTTGGAAAACCTATTCGTCTCACCAGCCGGCAGAGAAATGCTGAAATACAAACCGAACACGAAATTAAAACAGAAAATGAATACAAATTTAGAGGTAAGTTCGGAATGATTTGGATCGCCCTCGAGTTTGAACCGCCAGTTAATCTGTTGCAATTATCATTAAACAACTACGACCCAGAATACCGTTTAAAGCCTGCTTGACATACATCAGTGTCAGGGGCTTGTAGGTTAGAAAAGTTCAAATGTCAAGGGCGCCACTAACGCGTTTATGAATTTCAGTTTCGTACCACCATAGAAAACCGATCTAGACAATCAACGTTATCGAGCGAGAGCAATAAAGCGTCGACATCGAGTGTGCCGCCACTGTCCTCAAGCCCGTCCACGTCATCGACAGCTGACAGCGACAAGAATGACGGCATGGATTTGTACGAAGAAGCCGCAGCCATCTTAGGACTGACTTGCTCAGAGACTGACAATTGTAGATGTCTAGAGTGTCAGGTGAGAAATGACATTAGATTCGCTTATCCAGAACTATATTTTGATTTAAAGTCGCAGCAAAATTCCGATCTTAAAAAAAGGACGCAAAATTTGCAAAGTGTAACAAGTGCAACTAGTTGCTGTCGACAACTAAGTAGTCTTTACAGCTCAACTGGTTCCTCTAAATATGAGCAAAACCCTCGGTAATTTCAAATTCTTGCATTTTGCATGAACTAGAAACATTTCTAAAATACCGTTTTGTTTAAAAAAGTGCGTATTTTAATGCTCTACCTCACAGATTTGCAGAAAAACTAGAAACACTTCTAAACTAGTGTTTTATACAAAAAGTGGACAATTTAATGCTGTATCAGGCAATGACAACTGGGGCTTTGCAGCTCAGCTAGTGAATTTCAAAGAGTGAAAACACTAATTTCATATTTTCCACTTCAAACGCTCAGTTCCAAACAAAATGTTCTTAAGTAAATGCGTATCATACCCGCAAAGATTGTGAAGGTCCGCTGTTTGAGCAATTTTTAAAAGATCCAGCCCATCAACATGTTATTTGGCAAGCACAAAACAATCGCCGTTATCGCATCATTAGCCGTGACTTATAACAAACAGGCCCCTCGTCTGGGGATCTTTTATATTATTTCGTCCAGTTATACAGACGTCCCGGCTCGTCTGGATATCGAACGACGACGGTGTGACAGTGAAAAATACAAATCCATTAATTCTCCAGCTCGAAACAGTCCGAAACGAATTTGCATTTGATTAACGGACCACGTTTGGCCAAAGAGTCGATTAGAATTGACGGATTTAAAAATGGCGTTTCGGCAGAATTGCGGTTCGGTTCAGTTTAAAAGCTTTATTGTTATTGTTGGCCATTTGTTTCGGACGTGTAAACTGCGACGTGGGTGACGCCGATAAAACAGAAAAAAAGGGCCAAACTTTGCGATTTGTCAGGATTGACGCCTAATTTCCTTAAGAGCCTGCTCTCGCTAATTCGCCTGGATTTTTCAGTGTCATTACTTCGATTTCGAGGAGGAAATTGATTTCCCGACCGCGGGAAATGAGTATGGCCAGCTGCTGAGCGTAGATCAAACCTCGTCGTGCTCCATCCAATAGCGACCCGAGATGAGATGATGCGATTACTTGGTCTAAAGTAGTTTTTGATATTCGAAAGGGGACAGGACGGTTTTGCTGGGAAACGTTTTTTTTTTTAACTTAACTAACGGGTGAAGGCCATTTTCTCGTTCTATGAATTGGTTCAGTTGATCAAAAAAGCCTATTTTTGCCCATGCTTTAAGAAAAGAAGAAACAAAGAGCTGAAACCTTTAGCAACTTGTCAACACTTTCCTGTCGCCTTTAGGTCTATTTGAAGAAAGCCGTTGCAATACTAGAGACGAATTTCAGTAATTAAGCGCCACCGAACAACACGGTTTATCTCTAGCAACGGCAACTGCTTGCTTCAAAGTTGTAAAAACAACGCTAAATTCTAAAGTGATTATATGTATAATAATATACCTACGTGGTAAGCATAAGCTGCACAGGAGGTTTCTCAGTCCTAAGCAAAGGGGCGTACCTAACTTTTATGTACAGGAATTAAAGAGAATGTAGGTATATTTACCGAGTAAATTAATTCATTCACTCTCTGATAAGATGATTTTGAAACTGTGTTAAAGTGCAACTGATTTTGTGACTTTCCCAGAACGTTTACTGCTCAATTGAAAACTCTAAGGATAACATTGTTGTAAATACGAAATATATTCTATGCTCAAATGTACCGCGCTTGTTTCAATGATCACATCTACCCAAGTACCGAAGCTACGTCAGTATTATCACAAAGGGACTTACCGAAGTAAGGCTCGAAACGTTTAGCAGCATCTCATCGTAGTTGGTTGATTGTCCAATGGCGAAGTCGATGAATTGTCCAGCGATTAAAACTAACACCAAACTCTCGTTTATGCAAAAATACTTCACAATCACAATCTATTACTGGCCGAGGAGCGCATTGAATTGGAAGAATCGAGGCGCAATTTGGCTGCGCATTTTGCCGGCTCACTGACGCCATAACCAAAAACTGTCTGAAAAATTTTCAAAATAAAAATTTACCCACAAAAAACATCGCTCCGTTTGCGAATTTAGTACCGACGTGACGGTCGAAAACTCAGCTTTGAGAATATGCACAGTTTACCCCGATTCGGAACGAATTTTCACAAATTTTGAAAGAAAATAGCGCTGGCAGTCAACAACCCTGTTAATGTCACTCATAGATGAAAACCGAAATGTCACTAAATATACAGGTTGGCCCGATAAAACGACACATCGTCTTGCCACGTCATTGGTGGGGTACAGGGGAGCAAATTTTAAAACTCAAATTAACAAGTTTGGATCAATTAAAATTCCACGTTTACACAGACCCAGCTGCATTATTTTTTTCGCAGATTTTTAGTTAGAAAAAGCACCCTTCAATTCCACCTTTTAATTGTATAGAATTCCACAAATAAATATCACACATTTAGGAGTAGGTACTCGTAATATACAAAATATAGGTGCTCGGGGTACTTTGTTGGTGCATTTTACAGTCCTTACTTGCTAGACTAGCCTAGTTTAGGTACCTAAATAGATTTGGTATTTATTTGAAAGAGCCGCGTTTCGGCTACGTGGCCATCGTCAGTGTTCCCAGAGTAAGTAGCATCGCCAAGGAGTTCCTCAAGGGGCAGCTACAATTAATCCAGCCTTGTTTTTAACTCTCAGTTCCTCTGGAGAAACCCTGTTGTCCAGATGCTGAGCTGCGGGAGGCGAAACTCTAGGCCTAGAGAAACGTTGTATAGTTACGATTGAATGTGATTAAAAATGCATCATTTAGGGCCGGAAACGAAAACGGTTTCACTGAGTTGGGCGGCGACTGCTCTGAACCAGCACAACTTCCACTGCCCATTGTATAAGTATAAAATGTACAAGTTTCTATCGTTGAGATCCTTTGAAAGCGCGGTTTATATTTTACATCCTGGTTTGTTCATCGCAAAGGGGCGGTCAGACAGCCAGAGGCCATGTCTCTATTGTCTGGCTCGCGTGCCTCGAGGCTCTATTTGTATATAGGTTTTAAGCTTAATTAGTTTGCTTAGACACCGATAGTGATTGATTAATCCGATTTGGTCTTTGCACCTGAAAATGAGGGGCTCTACAATATAATACAGGCAGAGCCTTGCATCACTTCGTGCAGGAAAACCGGCGTGCCGGCCCCCAGGCCTCCGTCGGTCTTCTCCTGTTCGTTCTGCTCGTACTCGCAGTCAAAGTAGTGGCTTTGGCAGTCGTAGCAACGGCACTGATCCGACATTTTGCAGGTGATGCCGAACTGTTTCGCCACCGCTCTAAAATCAATATGGCAGTTTTATATATATTTATATTTTATATATATAATCAGCGCCTTCGTGCGTCTGGTACTCACTTGTAGAATTCCTTGCTGGACGTGTGCATTATCTCGGGCGCCTTTGGAGACGTCGCAGGCGACTGCACTTGTTTTACCGTCTCACTCAGCAGCGTCTGGAATTAAAAAACGCAAAGAGGCAAGCTGTCAAATACGTTCAAAAGCGCGGGTTCCACCTCCTTTTCACCGGCATAGTCGTTCTTGTTGCGCAAATCCTCGTGATTGGAGCGATTTAGGGTGGAACCCTTTGAACTGACGTCTGAAATGTAGACTTCCTCCTCGCTGACACTGTCATTGCCTGTAAGGAGACATACAGAACCCAGATAGCATTTGATATTCTATGAATATTCCAGAATGTTCAAAAAATATACAGAACATTGCGGGAATATCCTGGGAATATACATGGTTGAACATTCCTAACATGAATGTTCGTGGAATATACATGCATGTATATTCATCAAAGTTCATAAAAAGTATGTCCTAGGTATTTACACACATGTACTTATTGGGTATATGTGCAGATGAACATGCCAGGTATGTACATATAGTGTATATGTGCACGGTGAATATACCTAGTATGTTTAAAACAAATATTCCGGTAATATACATGAATGTATACGGTATATTCCAAATTGGTTGAATATAAATTTTGCGTACCCGCAGCAGAAAAGTAACGGCATGTAAAAGTAAATCTTCTTACTACTAAAACCGGAGACCCTTATGAAATACTGAAAATATGGGTTTTTGATTAACAAATTAACAAAATTTAAACATGTAACCCCGCAAACATGTAAAGGTATGTTGGTGTTTAAATTAAATACATTTGATTATTTTATTATTTCTTGTTCTAAACATACAGGTGATACCGCTGTT